GTTAGATACAGCTTCTTCTGTTTTTCTTCTCGGTAACCACCGTGAAAGGTGGTCGTCGAGTAGATTGTGTTGTTCGGCGCAGAGAACCCTCACTCTGCGCAGATGGGGATTATCACACCAACGTTGTGTTAAATTGGTCAAGCACCCTCGAGGCAGTTACAAAGTGCTTTTAGTTGTCTCTGGAAGTGAAAGCACCAGAATATTATTAAAGTCATTTGCAGCTGTCATCCGTACGCAAGGTAGCGAGCACAAGACACCAAACACCCTTATAAGTTTAAAGCACACCCTTCGTGCGACTCGCCGAATACCTCACGACGCTTCGCGCTTGGTTAAGTGAGAGCCTGGTCCGGTGAGACCCCGGCGTGATCCGTCCCGGCATTGTAGGGATGCGAGGTCAAGGGTCTGACAACTACGGCATGGACGACTCTGAATACCCCCGGTGAGAGCAATCGGGGTTGGTTTTCGTCGCTTGACAACGACGTCGTGAAACGCGCCGATCGCTTCGTGAGCTCGACAACCAGGTTACCGTTTATTTCTTGGAAACCATAACGGTGGTTCAGCAGATGATGTTGCGCGGGGTCGAGAACGCTCACTCAACGCAAAGGAGATGGTCGCACCACGTTTGTTGGAAATTGGTCAAGAACCCTCGAAAGTAGTCACACATTGTTTGTAACTGTCTGGAAGTGAAGATCACATTTTTTCAAGTCATTCGCAGCGTGTTATCCGTACGTAAGGAAGTAAGCACACCATGCCGAACACCCTTAGCAGGATGCAGCGCACCATTCACCCGACTCGCCGAATACCACAGCACTTCGCGCTTGGTCATGTGAGAGCCTGGTCCGATGAGAACCCGGCGTGTTCCGTCCCGGCTTTGTAGGGGATGCGAGGTCAATGGTCTAATGACTTCGGTATACACGGTGATGAGTACACCCCCGGCCAAACGTTTGGTTAACCGGGATACCCAATCAACCCATGGCATATATCTGGTGTGGTAACAGCAAATGCGAAGATGATGACCAGCTTCTGGTTCATCCTTGCGAAACGTAGCCTTGGCCGTCCAAAAGTCGGCATATATAGACTATCACTCCGTCCCGGCAATATAGGGATGCGAGGTCAATGGTCTTCCGACTACAGAGTACGGCATACGTTTTCATGAGCCGTGAATATGAAACTACCGGTCGGTGGGTCACCGGTCACCCCCCCCTTTGTATGATCTTGACTTGCAGCCCCCGTGTTTTGGGGCGCTGATCCTAACTGTATGCGCATTGATCGGTACACGACGTTCGTGGGTTCTTGTTCTGAATACCACATCGGAACTGAGGAAGTTTTCTCATGGCCTACTGTAGTTCTTGGATTTTGATTTTTTCGAGGCTGCATTTCTTACTCTTCCAAGTTCTCAAGTGTGCACGAGGACGAGATCGAAAGGAAAAACGACGCCCCTTCCGAAGATGAGATACAGAAAGAATGGGGAACATCCTTGGAACAAACAGGCGAAGTAGGCGTTGCGCGTGCTGGACAAACGGAACCAGCCACACAAAGCCACGGGAAAATAAACGAAAATAAACCGCGACGTTGCTCTGAGCACACAGCAGTACTGTTGGACACGCGCCCAACAACGGAGTACAACTGTGTTAACTTTAGGAACAATCGTGCTCCAACACGAACTTTCGTGCGCCGCCAATACTGCACTGTTGATTACAAGCAGGCTGTTCGTGGGCTCGTGAACTCATGAAACGTTACACTAGACTAAGTTAAACGTTACACTAACAAAGTACATAGTCGCACCAGAGATTGACTACCCGATCGGGATACTTACTATCTATCACACACACAGGCCCTCTATTCTGTAGCAAAATATCGGTGATGCCAGCGGAAACAAACGGTGAGGGCATCCGCACGAAGGAGGAAGACAATCGGCGAAAAGACACAGCAATAGCTCTCGGGGTGCAGCTGTCCCAAGAAAGTCATACGTAGACTACACTAAAAACGGCACGGCTAAACACCCCACCGGTCGGGTAATTCTTAACCACCACACCGGTTTCCCCACCGGTGGGGTGTTAAGCAGTGCCGCAAAATGAAATTAAAATACTGAAAGACGAGCGCCTTCTGAAAGCGCTCTGTCCTTCGACAGCTCCAACATCGTCTCGTTGTGCGAGTCGGTCGCCGTGGTGGTTGAGTTGTTTCATAAGTTCGCAGTCTTCTGGCGTTTGGGGAAAGTTGCAACGTCGGAGGAGCCACAAAAAAAAAAATGCATTACGCATTGTGAAGCTGCTCACACAAAAGTTGCGCCTTCAAAATTTGCGCCACAAACAACAAGTGGAAAAAAACGACGGGTTCATGTGTTCACGGCCGCATCATTCGATCACGGTCGATGAGGCACGCTCGTCGACGATCGATACAATTGTATATCCATTCAAAGTGGCCGTCAGATCATCACCGCTGCCGTGTGTTGATGATGCCGCTGGATAGATTCTGGCGAGTATGCGTCGTGTTCCATGGAAGAACGGGAACCCAGAATTTTTTCTGGGCAAGTTCCGCCCCGGGTAGTTGCGCTTCTCTGCTCACCTACAGTAACTTCCTCAGACACCGTGTGCAGTCCTCGCGATCTTACTCTGGACTTCCATCGCCGGGTTCAGCCCGAGTGTAAACCATGCGTGTTGTTACGTATTGTTAACAGGCGGCAATGGTACCCTGTGCCACGCACAAAATTCTGCACTCGATGCACGACCTCCTTACTAATGAACAACACGGACGCAGCTTCACGGACGTTCGTTGGCGGGTGCGGGTGGTGAAATGTTCAGGGCTTGTTTTCCCAACCTTTCGTTGTGTTAATGAAAGCGGGGGTGCAGGTGGCACCCGATACAAAGCAGCGGGTTTGCGGCTAGGACTATGTAGTGCTTTCGCTTGTCTGTCATACAGCAGTATCGTCGAATCATTCATTTTTGCAAAATCGCCAGGAGAGCAAAAGAAAGGAACATAATAGAGCCGGTGCTATGGCGAAGAAGCAGCACCCTCCCAAACTCATGAATACCTTATGCACAGCTCCCGCATTGGAGATCATGCACGTGCGTGCTTCTTGCGTCGATCACGACACAGGCCGGAAACTGTTGTCGCAGACCCGAGCATAAGTGTCAGTTTCTTGCTGATGTGATGGCCTGATTACTTCGAAAACAACAATGCACTGTACAGCGTATCCATCATCTTCAGGCCAGACTTTATACCCATCTATGTAGCACCTACTGCTGTAGTATGCGTGGATCTGGACACATGACGCGCACCTGTCAGAGCCACGGGTTGAAGGTCTTCAGTGGCTTGAGGTCAGCAGAAAGAGAAATGGCCGTATGCATACAGTCTTGCTACACTTGAGATGAAATGATGTTCTCTCGTTCGCGCGAAGTCCTTGTACCGAAAGGGATTGCGGCATGTACAGCAGCAGTCTTGTGCCTGTTGAAAAACCATCGTCTCGATCCCTTCGTAAAGAAAAATGCGGGTGCTTTCCCTTTCAAAAAAATCCGTTTTTCCGCAAAAAGCCCGCATATCCGTTCCGCGATAGGGTGCCCGCGCAAATATTATTCCTTCTACAGAAGGCTATCGCCATGTCATGTTGGTGACCCCACTCTTGCATCCCACTCACGTAAGTAACGAACATACTCCACCAACAGATATCACACTTTACATGTGGCCTCGGCCCCGTCCTCCCGTCTACGGGGTATATTTGTTTGTATTCATCTCCATCGAAATACAGTAGAATGACAGGTCGTGGGTTCGATTCTCTCGCTGGAGGCATTTCTTTGCCTCCAAATTGCAGTGGAAAACGATTTCTTTCGTAAGCATACACACTTCGAACCCTTCTCTCGAAAAAAAACACATGGGCACATACCGCAGAGAAAACAAATGTGGCGATCAACAACATGCTCCTGTGTTACCCCGGCTGATACGTCAAATATACATAGCGAGAGGTTCAGGTATATCTATCTCCTGCCTCTTTGAAAAAATGCCTCAATGCCTCAATGCGCAAAGCTACTGAAACTGGCGGCTTATTTGGGCGTGGCTCTATCTGTAGGTGTGTGTATCATGCTGTACATGCTCCCTTCCAACTACGTCTGTTGCTCTTGCTGTCGCGTGTGATCTGAACATTCGCGTTCTGATGTGGTTGAGATGAGATCGCCATAGGCCGGCATTGCAACGTCATACTGCAGACCCACAACTACGCACCAACCCATCTGCGAAACGTCGTGGGCTTAGTACAATGCAGATTCCATGCCTGGCCAGTGACGCGAAACCGAGGATTGCGCAATCTCCGCATGTCGGAATTCCGGACAAAAATACGGGGGGAGACGTGTACAACGCCGCAACGCCAATCTCATTGACAGCCATCGCCCAACTCTCGATAATGGGCGCCATCTAGACCTATCGCTCCCTTGTTTCAGAGTTCGGTCGGTGTAACATCCCATCGAAGAGCTAGGGCTGGAGGAAGGAGCTTCGCCATTGTCGCGTTCATGAAACTGACAGTCTCTACTGAAAGGCCACGGGAAGCGTAGCCTCCGTTAGGCGACGGGTGTCTGCGACCGATCCACACTTTGGCTGCCTGCTGTTCCGAGCATTGAAGGCCCATGAAACCAGCGATATCGATCAGACCCAGGTGGCTTTTCTGCGAGTTGGGATCAATGTTGGGAAGTGATCAGCGATCATTCAGAGTGGGGGAAAACGTGGCGCAGAAGGCACGTCGGGATATACATGAATCTACCGTGGAGAAAGCAACACGGGAGACTTCGGATGAAGCGCAATACACTGAAAAGTGCACCATGGCCGAGGCATTTGAGACTTTGGAACTTGCGTACGTGTTCGGCTGAGAGGTTTGGGCAACCAAATCAATGACGACGTCGGATGGCCCTACAAAGAACATGTGCACACCTGCAACTCTTCGTAGACTGTAATATGGGACGAGGGTCCCATCAGCGTGCCCGTGTGCCACATATACCGCTGATGTATCCACGAGACTAGGACCTGCATGAAAAGAATTTCACACAGAACAAATGAGCGCACAACGTTGCACCAGTTCAACTGAGATCGACTGTCCTCGTGGGGGGGACAGCTATCTCACCGTACGTATCATGCGCTGTTCCCGGTTCACCTCGTCATATCTTGTTTCCATTCGAGCGTGAACCGCGCATACAAGCAAAACGCTCGTCACAAAACGTCTGCGAAGGAAAACGCTTCGTACCTACACTGTAGTACCGTCATCGGATTTACAATCTGTCGAATGTGCTGATATTTGTGCAGAGCTCGATCCAACCTTGCCGGCAACATGCACCGGCTATCCCACCGCTCACCTCAAACTTCCACATAATGAACTCGTCTAACGAAAACTTCCTTGTCCACCTTTCTCGTTCGATAACCTGAGTCCGCATCATATACTCTGATATCACCACGTTGCGTGGATCACGCATGATGACGATTGACCTGCCAGATTCATCGACAAGGGTTTGAGAAAGCGCTCTGATCTGTGACTGATTTTTTGAAAGCGCTGGGTGTGCATCCCAACCGCAACACGAAGTAAGTGCTGGAACGCAACCGCTGGGATAGCGGCTGTGGATCGGTGTGGGCCCGGGCCAAGATAAACGGAGAGTAGAACCAGCTGCGAACGGAAGAAAACCTGCACTCGCCAGCCAGCACAGGTTGATATTCGGAACGCACGTTGAAAAAAAATGAACTCTATAAACCGAAAGAAATGAGGAATGTTGGCCTGTGGGCGAGTCACATGACAACGAAATTTATCGCTTGATGCATGCCGAGCCCTATCGATACATATTGATGAGACTTCATGCGGTGATACGTGTTTCTCTTTTGCGATTTGTTGGTCGGATTGAACCCGATACGTGATTCACTGATACTCCCGCGAAACCGGTATACTTATTTCCAGGATAGCCATGGCAGCTGATATTCTCAGCTTACGAAATGAATACACGGCTTCCCGGCAACAAATTGGTCGTTTTTTCCAGACGCCCATAGAGGTCCCTCACAAAAGCAAAATAGAACAAATCACTTGGGGGAAATACTCTACGCCAATTCTGCAGCTGCTTGGCGCTGCCCAGCCATTTTGGGGGATGTCTGAGACAAACCATACCAACTCAGTTGTTCGCTCTCCAAACCATCGCTATGGTCGCCGCATGCACCATGCTTTGAACCCGAGAAAAGGTGGTCCCCAATAAAACACAGGTATAACCGCGGAATGCAGAAAAACTCCAGCCAACCTCATGCGCCCGCATAAACTCTATTGCATTTATCAAATAGCCAGTAGCTCGTGTATCAACAGCCTTTGTCGGGCAGCTAAACGCAGCAGAATATATGTCTGCATGCAGCCAAGCCAATGCAAATCGGAATCAGTATGGACAAGAAAAATATCTGATTGCATTCTAGGCAATCAGCAAACTTTATCAAGTGCCTGGCCGTCCCAATGTGAGTACGTCAGTACCCCAGATCCTTTGTTAGTGCCGAACCAACCTCAACCAAGTCTTCAAGGTGCACTATCACTACGTGGACTGATTCATTTCATCGCTCACCGTCTAACGGCCGGATCCGCACTCGGCATGTGTCGAACGCAGCTTGGAGATGTATCGTAGAGGCAAGAAACGAGCCGATCCCTCGTTGGCATTTCATCTGATGCGCACGGCTGAAGATCAAGAAAATAATCCCTGTGAAGACGCCCCCCATTGCGGCAGGAGACAGGAACTCCGAGATCCATTCCGGGGATGACGTGCTTATGAATTCCCTTTCACCAACACCATCAGGCGCCAGACAAACAACAAAAACGAAAAAAACGTGAAAGTAAGCAGTCTGAAAGCATGTTTGTCGGAACGGAGCTTCGGTGTTGCGATTTTCTGTTTTTACGTACTTGGTCCACCACTGTTAGGGACTTCGTGTCAGGCTCAGAAGCGCGTCTAGAAACGCAGTAAAAAGCGAGTTCGTTCGATGATGTTGTTGTTGAATGTGCGATACTGAATGACTCCCTGCCTTGGCGGGAATCACGGCAGAAAAAACATATTTGGGACGACAGTTCGACTACTGTACAGGTTCGGAGAGGGAGGTGGTACTCAATGCAACGATATAGCAGCTCGTCTACAAAAAGCGAAAACCCGTTGTAACAATGAAGAATATCATGTGCAAAGATTGTTTGCATACCGATGGATACAAACACGCCCTCTTGGGGTCAATTTCTTACCTAAGTTTTTATTCTTCAATCTGTACGAGCGATCACACATGCCGTAGCCCATACGTCACAGATCAACTGCTCCACAGCCAAAAGAGTTCCACCACTACAGAAAATGTGATACTGTGGAACCATCCGGTCGTTCCTTGCAACCTTTTGGTGTGTAGTTTGACTTTGCAATTCAATCTAGAGGTGTGGTATTACCCCCCCCCCTGCAACGGCACAAGTAACACGTGCAATGTCTTTCATCGATTGTCGCCATAACCATGCGTGATTGTCGCGACCTCACCTTAAAGTGGAGGAAGAGCTCGGGGCTGCCACTTCCGTCGATGTTTCTCTTCAGCAACTCAAACTCGTGCAAGGACGCAGGCGGGTGTGGAATGATGGTCATTCCTCCAACCTGACACCTACCGGTAGGAATGCATTGCGAAGATTGTACTGTTGGAATATTTGGCACTACCGTAGCTTCAGCATTAGGTGGTCAGTTTGACTAGTTCAACTATTGTCAATGTCGCTATGTCATGTAGTAGGTAAAATTCCGTCTGGTCTGTCATACTCGGAATATGGAGACATGGTTGATGTTCTGTGTTGCATATCCAGAAATAATCTGCATAGCCTAGATTTCCAGAAATATGTCATAGTGCAAGTAGCTCAGACTTGCGTGCTCGGAAATATATATGCATCGGGTAGTTGTCGAAAGTGCCTCTGACTTGTGTGTGTGTATGAAAGGATATGTACCGCCGCAAGTAACTCAGACTTGCGTGCTTGAATGAATGAATATTTGTCTGCGCTCAGCAGTCGAATTTGGAAAGTACATTATTAGTTCAATTGTTGAAGCTGTATTCTGCGGTTTGTCGTACGTCAGTGCAAGTAATCACTTGTGCGTGCAAGTACAATACTTGATGTGCATACGTGGCACAAGTTCGAGAGCATGGTGTTGAAGTAATCTTTCCAGAAACGTATCGTAGCTTACCAGTACCGTATTCTGAACACGTGTGATTGGTCAACGTTGTCGGATAGGTGTGATTCCATGATATCGAGGATGAGCGCGTACTCGCCCCATCCTCTCACTCTGCTTCTCTGGGGGTTCTCCAACCCTCTGCTTCTTTGGGGTTTCTCAACCTCTCTACTTCTCCGGGGTTCACTACCCCTCTGTTTCTCTACATTCTTTCTGGTCTCCACTGATCAAGTAATTACATTTCCATCACACCATCTTCTTCTCCTTCGGACCTTCCTGCGTACTCAGAGCCAAGCCTCTCGTACTAAAGGGTCCAGCGGCACAACAAGTGAGTTGGCACGCCGCGCTGCAGCCGTACAGGACACGTACAGGCTTACACGCAGCACTTGAGTTTTTGCTTTTGACCTGTGACTATAAGATTGCACAATCGGGTGCTCTGCTTATGTACATCAGTGGTCATTGCTGCATACGCACGTTCTACTTGCGCGACACACTGCGGAGAGAGCACGCACCAACTCAAGCGTAAATTAGGACTTCCCTTTTTGACGACAAACAACAACACCTCTTCGAGAGCCGATACGGGTCGTCAACACCCACAAGCCTACATCCCCAAGATGTACCACTACCGCCGCCACGTGACCACAACGACAAGAACATCGACGGTCGATACCAATAGTGCAAACTGAACGGGAGAGTAGAACTGCGGAAAACATAAGGTGACTACAACAGAGCGACCTAGAGAATGCCATAAAAGCGAGCGAGGAGTGAAAAATTCAACAGCAACTAGGTCTCCAGCAACCACGTCGCTCTCACCACTGGTTGTTGAAACTCCCGCACAGCTCAAGGGCAAGCGCCGGCACAACTCTTCCCAGCCAAGTCGTGCCGCTCTTGGGCTCTTCAGAAATGTTCAAACAGACGCCGGTGACGTAGAGAATACGATTTGAGCAAGCATTTTTCGGAAATGAGTTTGAGCGAGTCTAGCGCCACAGAGGTGGCGCTCCTACAATGGAGACCGAGGGGCGAATATACCTGACTCAGAGGATGTTATATCCTATCGCACTCACTCAACTCAATTTGCATAGTTCCCACGTGTCCACCCTCCCGACCTGGGAACGTGTGCAACATGACTTACCACCGAGCGCATCAAGAGAGATTCCCTGTCCAGGTTTCCCGAAGCCATCTAAACGAGAGTGAAACGACAACCGAAACGGGGTGCGTTCAGTGGCGAAGAATTACAGCTCGCTCGAAGATTGTCGGCACCAAGAAGCGCACATGTCGCCTCTCAAAGACTTTCGCTTCCAGACGTTTGTCGCATAATAAGTATTGCTCTGCGGCGTTCCCGATACACTTCACAAGAACTATGTGAAACGCAAAAAACTAGCGGTATTGTGAGTGATGCGACATGGAAACGTCGATGTAAAACACGCTTGTAAGTATGGTTATCTGCCTTCCTGGAGTGTTTCAACATTCTCGGGTCCACGGGGCTCATCGACAAATGAAATCTGCTGCCTTAGGTTCAGAACGCGACGAAAAAAACGTTATCTGCACGTGGACAAGGTCTGACACCAGTGTAGTCCTATTTTATTGTTGGAGCCGATTAATGACCAAGCGGCCGCCGAAGCTCATGTAGGTGGAAGCGATTGCTCGTCAAGGGCCTTCCACATGTTGACAGCATCATTGACCTGCCGTGGGTATGCGGTATTCTGTGTTTGCGGAGGAGCATCGCTTTGATGGTGATACAGGGGTGGTAAACAACGACATCTGCAGTTCTTGGCGTCACCAGTTCGTCGGCTGTTGCGTGACTGGGAAGGCGGAATCCAAAGAAACCCGAGGCACCTCGGTATATACAGAATATAGAGTGCTTCGTCCCGCGCACCAACGCCTGTGCCCCCACGCACGAGCCGCCGCAGCACATCGTGCTGCCTACATCGTATGGCATTCGTGTCTTGACCGCAACCACATTGTCCATCTACACCGCAAGGCGTGTGTGTCGGCAACAGTAAATGCATGAGGCGATCGAGCGTGTGGGCGATGCCGATCTCTCTGGCGCGACAAGCCTTGTCACACGAGCAGGGGCCGCAGGCACAGATTCAGCTTGGGTCGATCGGAGAGGGGACACCGCAGGCAGACCAAGGAAAAACGAGGGAAGGCCGCTGGTGACAACTCACAGGGACAACGGCGCCGTGCACTAACTTAGATCGGTGAGCTGTGGTTCGGCGTTCAGCTCGAGTTGTTGCTGCATTGATTGTCCTGACAATTCTTCCCATATATTTGTGTGGTTATTCCATTTACCGCAATCGGCAGTGTCGTGCCCTCGGGAGGGGTCAGTCATTGCCGCTGAAATGACGGTACCCCGGGATTCAGTCTGTTTGCCGATGCGCGGACTGATTTGATCACCGTCGTTGTTCGGGATTTTGACATACCCCGTTCTCGGTTATGGGCTGTGGTTTGTCGAGAGGAGGTGTATTTTTTCTCCACAACACCCATGATTGTTGTGTGGGCGATCGCCAACGAACGTCGCGCGATAAGGCAGGGGTGTATCTCAAGCAGCGCAAGCATAGCGCAAAGAAAATGAATCAATGGGTGAAATTCGAGCGTGGAATGTTGCTTGGTGATTCATCGAAGTTGTTCACTGAAGCAATACTGCAGAGTGAATGCCTGTTTGGCCGGTTGTTCCTCTTTTTTGTGACGTGTGTGCCTCGCCCCTTAGTGCCGCGGCTGATACTGCAGTTTGGGGCGGTCAAGCAACAGGTACTCAAGAGCCACTTTCAACAAAAGCTGAAAATCACGAGAGCCAATTAATCCTACTTGGGCTGCTTCTAGGGTACGCAAACCATTGCCCGGACGGAGCCTCACCTTGGAGCAGTTGCTCTCGGGGCGGAATATGTAGGCAACAACTTTCTGAACGGCAGCAATGAAACAGCGTCTGCTTTGCACAGCAGCAACAGTTGTAGCGTCCGTCGAAAACAACACACCTACCTCCGACAACGCATGTTGATTTTGCAGCAGTACTTCGACGTAGTCCCAAATTCGGATAACCCTTCCAGCGCGCAGCTCATGCGTTGTCCCACTATATTTGCCGGATGGGTACTCTGGTTGAGGTGTCACTGTTGTTGCTACTGCCGCTAATGAACAACTCGGTGCCTAGTTCACGGGTTGCGTGGTCAGTCTGCTGCGGACGAAAATCTCATTATCGAACGTGGGTCTGCGGGAAATTCCCTCGAAAGCTGTTGGATTATCGGCAACGTTGATGGCTCCGCGCTTGCGTTTTCCTTCAGGTGAGGAGATTGTACACCATGGCCACATCACCTTTGATGAACCGTTGTATATTCGCGCGCAGCGAGGAAAATTCGTTCACTTTTGAATCTGTGAGGGCCGATCGACAACCCTGCGGTAACGTTTGGGCTTGCAGTAGCCATGAGCACGTTCGGGCCACCTGCCCTTCGTACCCTTCACCATTCCTGCCGTAGCCAACAACCTCGTACCCGACGGCACGATGTGGGTCTACACCATCCGTATCAGTAGCGAGAGAACACAGAAGTGGTTGCGTCCTTCAACGGAATCTGTCATTGATGCGAACATGGAACGATGCGCGCATATTGGCTGACAGGTTCCTCGTGGAAAATCTCCTCGGACGTCGTGGAGGACTTTCTGCCTGCTTTCTTAGAGTCGAACATCGGGCATTTCCCTATATTAACGGCTTGCGCGTTTCTTAGCTGTTACAGTAGATTGCTTTGAGCTGCCCCAGCGATCGCGCCACCTCCCATGGTTGCGTGGCCTCCTCCCCCTCCTCCTGCGGGCTGTGTTGCTGCTGTTGCTGTCTGTCTGTGGTGATTATGATCGGTGTGCTGGTCCAAGAACGCGTCCCAGCCTCCACTACCGTGGTGTTAAACGTTGAAAACATCACCGCCGCGAGGCAGGTGTCAAAAACCTACACCAGTACAGTCAACCAGGTTTGAATGTCTCCCCTCCCCTCCGTGTCGCACAAGATGCACACTTAATGGTGGTTACTAAGGGAAGCAACGAGTGAGGTTACAAGAGTGAGACATGACCGAAGTCCCGAGGGAACACTCGGGGGGAACATATTTGTTTGAAGAACTTGGTATTGTTTTCTTGTCGTGGCCATTGCCACGGGCGTGTCCGTCGCGACCGAAAACAAGTGATGCGAATCCGCGCCGGAGATGCTTCCGTGCATACGCTGAACACGCCGTCCGGGGCGGTGTACGTACCAGTGTCCGCATCGAGGTGTCGTGTTGGGGAGTTGACGTCATTGTCGCAGCGGGAGGAGCCCATTCCGTGCTTGTGCCCAGTGGAACGTGAGAGCGCAGGGACAAATAGTTTGAAAATATACGAGATGAAGTCCAGGGAGGGGAACGAAGTGAGCCGTAAAGGCGTAGACCGAAGAGGATGGACACCGGGTGGATAACCAGCGAAGAACACTGTTGTTCCACCGCCAACCAGCCCTTTGCCACCCCTCGCCTCCCATCAACTCCTCCATCAATTTTGATTTCGTTAAACACCAGGAGCAGACAAGTACATCCTGCTCAACTCCACGGTGGTTCTGGAGGGCTTCCTCTGTTGCGGGGTGGTCTGCCTTCGCTTGGTGTGCGTGCACCGCGAGAGTAGGAGGGCCAAATCCACTTCTCCGCCAACAGGTATTGCAGCGGCTGTATGTCTGCGGTGGGATGGCCTCTTCGTCCCCTCTTCGCTTGGGAGCTGAACAAATTTCAAGCAACTCTTAGGTACACTACCGCTTCCAATGGTGTCTACATATCCGGTACACAAGTCATAGTGAAAAAGAGGTTCGTGAATCACGCTACCAAGCTTCACGTAGCTGAGAGTGAACATACTTTTTAGTTGGGGATAATTTCGTCTCACGGATTCAGGAGTGCACGTTGAAATTATCTGATCATGCTCTCAATAGTTGCGGAAAACCCGAGTTGTCTGTACCTGTGCAATCTGGAGGCATTCGCGGCATCGATGGTTGATGCTGTCCTTTCGCTACAGCATTTTGTAAAACGGCAAAATGAGCCACCATCGGATATGCAACAGAGCTGTCGAAGTTTGGGGAAACAGATAGGCTGCGTGACGGCAGCCTCTAGACAAGTCGGCAATTGGTGGGTCCCGTGCGTGCACCGGAACGTGCGCGAGCGCGCAAGCTCGATTACCTTGTTGGAGTGGAAAGCCATGTGCGAAAGGTGTGCGTCAGCCATATTGAATAAATATGACATGCTGGTCACACACAAGAATGAGCTGATACGTGCTCGTCGTTGCTTGCGACCCCCATGAATCACCGAGCGAAGTGCCGATGACGTTATGTTGAAACATCGATGGTCACCCACCCCGACGTCTCGTATTGCTTGTGTTACGTGGAAGGGAGGGTGGCTGGCGGTGCAGGCGTAGCCGGTGCCGGTCTTGGGGCGGACACCTCAGTGGGACCCGCGGGTCTCACCCCAGCACAGTTGCAGCACCCTGCGCAGACCAACGAGCTCCCCAACCACAGACGGTTTGGGTCGAAAGTGGTCGGCGGTGGCGAGGGGATGGGGGCGTGGGGTGGCGATGCCTGGGACTCCAGAAAGAGCACCGCAGGGAAATGGGCGGAACAGGAGGCGGCTTGCGCGGCATGTCTCTGCGAGGACGAGGATGGACAAATAGTGGACTCGACACAGTGCAGGACGATGGTGGTTGCACAGGGGTCTTGAAGGTGGCCGCAGAGAACACAAAGCTTCTGCTCCGGGTTGATATGGGGGGCGCCTGGTCGACCTGGTCGACGCAGCACCACCGGTACTCGGCCCGCGGAGCATTTATTCAATTTTAACGCGAGCTCAACCCCGTCCGCTTTCCCAACAAGGAAGTGCTGGTTGGCGCCTGTGATGGGTAATACAAGAAGCCCACAGCGTAGAAGTCTTGTAGCGATTTGGGTTCGAGAGACGAGATGATATTCAAACTCCACGCAGACAAAAGCGGCAGTGTCAATAAACATCTTCATCGTGTCCACTCACCTGGGTCCTGCATGAACGATTTCGCGATGGGCTCAATTGAGTTTGCCTCATCGGGTGCATGCTGGAGAGCTCTATTCACGCCAGATATAGTCGACAGTGGGAGGGTACTTGTCCTGTACAGAAAAACCGGGCAAACGCACACAGGTGCCGACGAGCCTCAGAATAGCACAACAGCGAAGCAGCGATCGCCGGGGTCGAGATGGAAGGGTACTTCGCGTTAGAAACTTGCGCTTGGGCGACTCTCTCTCCCACAACGAGTACGCTGGTGCGCAAAACGCGATTGGGGATTGGAGATGATGCGTCGACGACGTTTGCCTTCGGAGAAGTTCATTACTCTTCAAGTGCTCATACCGTGTGCTTTCGTCTAGTGGGGTTGGGCAGTGCGTATTTCTTGGCACGATGTTGCACTCCCTGTAGCCTGCTCCCAAATATACTTGTTCTTGTGGTACAACAAAACCCAATTGAAGCACCGACTCGGCGTTTGGGTTTGCAGGTTTTGGACAGTGCCTATCCACGCAATGATGTTGACCGCACAACAAAAACCTAAAATGGGGTTTGGCGTTTTCGCTCCTCAACAGCCTGGGGTAGGTAGCGCGCCTGCTCGTCGAACTCATTTGGCGGCCTTCAACTATTCATACACATCGCCCAATAGCGCTTCAACCACAAAGTGTCCTCACAAAGCCAAAGCTCGTATCAGTACTAAGGATCACAAACATTTCGGGTAGCAGTCATCATCACCAATCACTTGCCTTGTGGACTGGGACCGGCCGTCAGAGTTTTCCGTCCGTGGGTCAGGCAGTACTTCCAGTTGTGCCTCTGCAAAAAGGCGGCTGCTGCTCGAGTCAACGCCGATGCAGGCAGTCGCGATGCACGCAATCAATCTCTGAAAAAACGTCCCCATCGCGTGGCCAGCTGCGAAAAATGAACGTCGGCGAAACAAAACGATGCAAATCTAGTTATAGCGGACGCTCTGGGTAGAAGCCAGGGGCGATCATCTTGTTCGACGCTCTGCAGCAAGTTATTCCTGCATTAATCCTACTCCCCTGTCGCGGTGCAGGCGCACTCCAGAGGGGATTTGGGGAGGCGTTGCGAGAAAGTTTCAAGGAATAGAAAGCACGAAGAGGCGAGCAACGCAGCCTTCTCCGAGAGGGTAGGGTCGTGCGTTATATGCAGTGGTGAGCATAATACCTGCTGCAATGCAAAGAAACGCCTTTGATCCCACCTGGCCTGCAGTCGGGCTAGACATGCGCGACGTGTGGGCCTCATCTTGGCGTCTCCCGGAAAAAGTACGAACGTACTGTAGACATACTCAGGCTGGCCAACCGTGCATACTACAAGAAGTCCTCAATGTGTCCACCTTGCTTGTTGTCTCCGCCCTGCGCTACACTGCCGTAGCGCGCTAAGGCCCTCTGCGTGAACAGTGAACTTCGACAGAGGCAACGAGTTGTCGAGAGCAAGAAGACCATGTCTGCTACACAATGTCCACAGAGCAGCAACGTGTAGTCTGTTGTCCTCTAATACGGGGCCCCGCACGCGTGTTCGGTTGATGCTGCTGCTGTTGTTGTTGTTGTTGTTGTCACAATGTTCTAGAACCGGTCCGGTCTCCGCTCAGCACCTTCTAATGTCCGTACTGGTCCAACTGACGCGGACGCCTTCCGTGCCGTGGTCACAAGCCAACTGCCCCCCCAAAATGGGGGTACACCTTTCTTGTCCAGAAAATAATATAATAAAAATGGACCCCAGAAAGGTCCTCCAAGGCGCGATTTTTTGTACCCAACCCAACGAAAAATAAAGCTACCCCGAGGGTACAGACGATCGACCCCGGGTCAAGCGAGGATGAAAGAACGAACGACAAAGAAAGAACAAGAAAGAGAGAAAGACAAACGAACCGGAAAATAAAGGAAGATAGACAGGCCCCCTCAACACTCCATCCAGTCCACCGGAACAACGAAAATAGGTAAACTACTGCATCCGACTGCATGGTACCCCGCTTGAGGCCATGGGTGGAATTGATTCTTTTCCGGTTTTTCAACGAACGAACTGGTCTGTCTAGAGTAGTCTACAGCTGTAGAGGCCTCCACTCTGTTCCATACCATGGTACACTGGAATTTTCTGTAGTAGACAAGATTGGCTTGGGTGGATTGTGGCCACGGCAGTTCGTTTCGCTGCCATAGGCGAAAAACGTAAAGGAGAGAGCCTACAGCAGAAGGTTGATATAGACTTAAAAAGACTCGAAATAAGTCCAGTACCCAGCCGGTTTCCCTCCACTCACTGAAAAACTCCACCACATCCCGTTCGACTGTGGGTATATCTCGAATGGGTAGTGTTTCTGTGTGTTTTTTTATTATTCCTTAATACTCTACTGCAGTCGTGGTGTTGACACAACAGCAGTCGGAAGCGGCATGGTGTATGCATACCGTAGATTGCATAAGATATCACACCCCCTGGACCGATTTTCAAATCTTCGTTACTCGGCGGGGAAAACAGTGGGGCAGTGACGGTGCCGAAAATGGCCGAGTTGGAACCGTCGCACCGAGAGCTTTCTGAACACATATTGTTTGCCTTCGGCATCCTCTTGGTCGAGGAGTAATCGAGCTTTTGAAAATCGGTCCAGGGGGTGTGGTATCTCGAGCAACCTACGGTATGTATGCTAAGCATTGTGGTAGGCGTATGCCAGAGGACAAGAAGGCTCAAGCAGGGTCCACGCCACACCTATGGAAGGAACAGGTAAGCACGCGAAAACAAGACAGCAGCCATTGCGAAACGCCATCCCCCCCCCCCCCCGGGAAGGTCGAAACAGACAAGCACCGGCGCTCACCCACACGGCTGCGGACCACGGCAGCAGCAAGCTACGGAGAGCGTACCGCGTGTGGTAAACATTACAACATTGGCCGCCTCATCAGACACAAGAACAGCACCAGCACCCAACAACTGGAATACCTCAAGCGGCTTCGGCCTGTGGACACGTCGGTTCGTCCAGGTAGCGTCAAGGGAGAAAGAACGGGAGGCCGAGCGTGTGTGGTCAGTGCTCATAGCTCAAAAGAGAACACAGCACCAAGTTGGAAGGAAACTTTGTGGTACTGTAAATACTTGAAGTACTTCATACATCAAAGGTGTCCAACATCTCAATTTTTTCTCCCGTTGGTCAATGACGTAAATGGACTTACAGCCGACGGGCCTTTGAGAGGGTGGACACGGCGGTACAGTAATCTGTGTCTGCTGGGCGATCGGCTTGAGCGCTGGAGCTCAGGACCGCTGAGAGGAAAGGGGGTTGGGAGATGTCGCAACACGATGGAGGAGAAGCAGTCGAGTAGTCCTGGTGTGACACACATGCAGCAGCAAGAGCACACGTTTCCAGGCGCTAGGGGAGGGCAAGCCCTGTTGACACAACCTACCGCCGAGCTTCCGCGGAAACAGACCAAGGGACATGCGACTCCCACGTCAGCTCCCCTGCAGCATGATGGCTTGGCGTAGACGTGGCGGCTCCAGCAGCTGGGCTCTGTGTCACGTGCAAAGGAGCCTCATATTCCCAGCTACATGTACTGCTGATGGTTGATCTCTCCGATAATTCTGGCGGAGGAATTTTGTCCAATAGAATCACAGCCAACCAAACCCGGAACGGTGCAATTGGAGCGCTACGTGCAGCATTAGACTAGTGCGAACACGATCGCGTCCAGATAAGTGCGCGTTGTGCCTCAAGGTTGACTTCCGCTCTCGAGCAAATGGGTTCTGTGCGTCAAGCTGACCAGACCAGTCAAGGCCAGGCAAGCGGAGGTGGCCAGCGCCCGACTGCTTCATCAAGGGAACAGCAGCAAAGCCAGCATGTTGAAGAGGGCGGAAATGTGGCCCATCAATCGGGCAACCTCATGGCGGAAGCCATGAAGAGAGGAGGAATCTTGGGCTGGGGATCCTACTTGACGTTCGCCTGGGCAGGGCCTTTCCTCAAGCTCGGCTCCACTGTCACCCTCAAGGAGGAGCACCTTGAAGGAATCTACGACAAGCACGAGAGGTGGGAAGCGGGACCAAACATGCTGAACGAAAGGGTTTCTCGGCGGCTGCCGCCACCGCCGCGCTGGTCAATTGAGCGATTTCCAAGATATGGCTACGTTTTTCTTGCGCAACAACATGCTAACGGTGTGTTTTTGACGTGAGCATGGTCCAGATGTGCGTTGTGTGAAATGTTGTTTCGGACGCTCGTGGTGGGCGTTGACCACACCACAAGTTGACCCATCAGCAAAATTTGAAAATGCCACGTGTATGTATGTTTATTCCCCATGCCGAGATGACAGTCTCGTGTGAACCACGATACTGCCGTGTGCAGCCACAGAAACTAAAATCGGGCCCATTGAACCCGCCGGGAGATCGAGACAACCTATCCATCTCACTGACGAAGGCAGGATTGTGGCTGTGGCTCTTTCGCCGAGATGGATGAAGACGCAGAAACACACAACGGGGCGTTGAACTCGAACCGAAGACCATCGTGTGCCTTGGTGACGCCCGCCTAGAATATCCATGTCAGAGAGAGAAAGAAAGCAAGGAAGGCATACAGTAGTCAAGGATCTATGGGAACAACATAATCCGGACACGTGCAGTAGCCCCCCTCCCTTCCCGGTAGACAATTTCGATTTCTGTTTAATAATCAAAA